GTCACATCTGGATATACTATCTGGTATCTATGAAAATACCCAAACTACTGCATATAATGACCAAAAAGATTATATACGGTAAAATCAGATTCAAATGTGTTTCAATGCATCACTTTTGACCTGTGATCCAAAAAGATCACAGAAAAAATACTTAAGCCATAGGTTTAAAAAAAAACTATTAATAAAATACACAAAGTTTGTTTCATCTTACATTAGTTACTGTCACTAGGATACAAGCAGTAGTCCTGAACCAAAAATTTACATACTCATGGAAAGACATGAAAAATATCAACTTGTCAATATAATGTTTTCACTGCCGGACTATGATGACTGCAAAATCACTGATTGGAACATACACAACAATAAATTAAAAATAATAATAATAATAATAATAATAATAATAATAATAATAATAATAATAATAATAATAGTAATAATAAACAAAAAGCAATCACACATGTCATGTCATAAAAAAAGACGAAGAAAAGCTAGTCAGTCCAGACCTACTGTTTCCTTCATTCTATAACACATGTACAAGGCTACGTACAGGAGAGGTCTGTGCAGTACCAAGAGGACCTGAGCCCTTCTTACAGACACGAGAGTACAGGCTCTGCATCCCTTGGCACCCCACATGAAATGATCCAGAAAGTGGTGCCTCCATAAAGAAAAAAGGAATGAAAAAAATTTAGTATGATCATTACATATATATATATATATATATATATATATATATATATATATATATATATATATATATATATATATATATACATATATATATACATACATATATACATTCAAATATAAATATATATACACATATGTATATACACACATACATAAACACATGTATACATATATGCTTATGTGTATGCTTATGCATCCTTCATGTATACACTATACAAGGAGAAAAAAAGCTTATGGTTCTGGGTGTTACAGTGTAGGAGCAGATGAGTATGCACATATACACATGTATATGGGTATATACATATGTATATATATATACACCCTACATTTATATATATATATACATATATCTACACACACACACACACACACACACACACACACACACACACACACACACACACACACACACACACACACACACACACACACACACACACACATGCACACACACACACACACACACACACATGCACAAGCACACACACAGACCCACGCACACATACGCATACACACACACAACACTATGTATCAATTAATATATAATTAAATATATATACATATATATACATTTATACACATACTTTAAATTCATATATATATATACATATACTTATACACATATGTGTATATATATGCATACTATGTATATGTAGACATACACATATATATACATATATACATATAAAAATATATACATATATAGATATATGTACACATATATCCATTTATATACATATACATACACATACACATACATATACGCACACATACACATGCATATACATATTCATATATATAAATATTTACATAAAAATAAATACAAATACATACATAGGCATACATACAAAGAAATGTATATAAGTACATATAATATATATTAACATGCATACATATATATATTTACACACATATTTATATATATATTCATAATCTGTGCATATTAGGACATATATATGCATATATATAAACATATATTCAAATATATATTCACATATTTATACATATATAAATATATACACACATATACATATATAAATATATGCATATATAAATATATACATTCATACTACACATACATCTATACATACAGAAATATACATTTACATATATATCCATATACATATACATACATATAAATATACATATATATACATATATAATAAAGTATACATCTAAATATACACATATATATATATATATTCATATAAATAAACATATATTTACATATACATATATGCATATAAACATATGTATAGATATAAACATACATATTTATACATATACATATATATACATACATAAAAAATATACAAATACATATATATGTATACATATACATGTATACATATATACATATATATATAAAATACATATATATATACATATATATATATACATATACACATATTTATACATACATATATATATATATAATATACATCATATGTATAACATATAATACATATAATACATATATTATATATATCATATATATTATATATATCATATATATCATATATATTATATATATCATATATATCATATATATTATATATATCATATATATTATATATATCATATATATTATATATATCATATATATTATATATATCATATATATTATATATATCATATATATTATATATATCATATATATTATATATATCATATATATTATATATATCATACATAATATATATATTAGATAACACACACACACACACACACACACACACACACACACACACACACACACACACACACACACACACACACACACACACACACACACACACACACACATATACAT